TACTCATCCATTTAAGGAATGAGAAATCATCACATTCAACAGCAGGTCTAAATACAGTAATATGAAGGTCCCTTTCTCTCTCCCTGAGCAGGAAAATGTCACCATGTACCAGACACACAGATACCCAGGAATCAAGTAAATCCCTCTTTTTGAAGAAGGAAGCCAAATACTTCAGTTGAGTGAAGATGGTGCTGTAAGAGTACTCATCCATTTAAGGAATGAGAAATCATCACATTCAACAGCAGGTCTAAATACAGTAATATGAAGGTCCCTTTCTCTCTCCCTGAGCAGGAAAATGTCACCATGTACCAGACACACAGATACCCAGGAATCAAGTAAATCCCTCTTTTTGAAGAAGGAAGCCAAATACTTCAGTTGAGTGAAGATGGTGCTGTAAGAGCTATGAGGTGCTATATGACATGCCTAGCAGCACCACTTGTTGGGAGAAAGTGGGGCTAGGTCACCAAGAGATACCACACATCATTCTCTGCAGCACCTCCTGCTGGATGATGGGGAGGTGGCTGGTGTAGCTGTGTGTTACCCCAGAGGTGAAGCACCTCCATTGTGTCCTAGAGTGCCTCCTGCTAAGAGATTTAGACTGTGGTAGTTTCAAGCTGTGGCACAGCCAGCGCTGTTTATACTGTTCCCTGCAGTTGCTCTGCTGAGAGAAGGCGATACTGTCAGTAGCCCCGATCACAGAGCACCTCCATCATATGCAAAGGGTGGGCAGAATACAGCCCTGTGGACTGGATCTGGCCCTCCAAACTGCTGGGTTCTGGCCTGCCACCATGTCGTGGCCCAGCGGGAACCTTGGGAAGGCTCCTGCCTGGCACACCTCTCACGCCGCTCAAAGCAGCTGGCAGCAAGGGCCATGTGCTCCTTTGCACCCCCGGTAGGGTTGCCAGATGGTTTAACCACAAATACCGAACACCCCCCTTCCTCCCCCAAAAAAAGCCCACTGTTGAGAAAACAAAAAAGGGGGAGAACAAAGTTGTTGAAGGAAGGGGGAAAAATACCCCAACAGACAAACAAACAAAAAATACAAACCCCCCCCAGCATGGCCCCTTTAAGGCCTTTGGGTTTGGTTTTTTTTTGTTTTTTTTTTGCCAGAGTCTATTTTGTTTTCTTACTCTGTGCGGAAAGAGAGCTCCCCTGTGGAACCAGGTCAGGTCTGGTATTTTCGCCTCTTGGCAGGGGGGAAAAAATCAGAAAATACCGGACATTTTAGGGGTCCGTTATTTTCTGATTTTTTTTACCGGACAGGAGGAGAAAACACTGGACTGTCCGGGTCAATACCGGACACCTGGCAAGCCTAACGCCCGGGAGTGATGGGGCAATATGGACTTCATGTGCTGCCCGCACCCCCAGCACAATCTTGCAGCTCACAGCCAGAGCCTGCACCTGGTTGAGGATCTTTTCCCCCCAACCTTCTGCTGTTCTTCCTGCACCCCTGTTCTGGGTCAAAACCCAAATACTCTGCACCTCCACTCCAGCACTCACACCCCTTTCGAGGCCCTGCACTCCAATCCCTGCCCCAAGTCACAACCCAAACCCCTGCACCTCCAACCCAGGGCACAACCCCCTCCCAGACCCTGAATCCCGTCTTTCACTCCTGCTCTAGGTCAGAATTCTCTCCTGTGCCCATACCCCCTCCTAGACCCTGCACTCTCTCCTGCACCCCAATTCCCAGCCCCAGGTCACAACCCCCTCCAACACTCCACACCCCCTTCTGCATCCCAACCTGCTACCCTAAGCTCCCTTCTGCACCCAACCTCTATCCCAGACCTGCACCTCCTTCATGTGAGTACAGCCTGTCACCACTTACCAAATTCTTGGAGTGGGCCTCCCATCAAAGATTATTGCCCATGCCTGTCATATGCAGTGCTGCCCCTTGCTGGGAGAGCTGTGTACTGCAGCAGCTGAACATAAAACTAATGATTTCCCAATTATCTTTCAAAAATATTTGTATAGGGGCTCCATTTCCCTGCCCTTTCACTTCCCTTCCCAGTCCTCAGAAAACAAGAGTAGCAGCAGAGATCCTGGCAGACTGGTGTTAAATAGTGGTAACTCATATTTATTACAATTATATACAATAGTATTTTATATTTGAACTCTATACATGATCACACGGATGAGCACGTTTGCTTGGTGAGGACGACAGTGAGACTCAGATGTTACAGGAATTCCTCCGCTAAGAGATCTTCTGCAGTGAATGAGAATCAGACACCACCATGTTTTACCAGTTGAGAACATAGTGCTGCAAACAAGAGGTTTCTAAAGGTGTTGGTTTGTGTTTAGTCCCTGGAGGGCCAAGAGGGCTGAGGTGCGGTAGCTGGGAAGAGGGAGTGGGGGATCTCTGCTCAGGAAGCCCTCTCCATACGGTCAGCAGCACATTGGTGAGGTGGGCACATGTACTTTGCTGACACAAGTCTCGCCTGACTGTTCCTGGGGGGCTTTCTCCTCATTCAGGGAAGAAGATGAGCTCAGAAGTATGGCAGAGATTTAGAACGGATTGACTGCACCAGCAGCAAGGACACCTGATCCATGCAGGCTGGGCTGTGAATTGAACGGAAGACGCTCTGAGTGGGTAAGCAGCAACCAATTTAAGTGGGAAATCCAGGTGGGATTCCTACCAATAGGAGAAGGCCTTTCACCTGAGGATAAAATAGTAACAAGGCCGCCTGCTCTCACGTGCATGACTATGGTCGTGAGGCATGGATCTGGCCTCTAGCAAGAGGCTGCCGGGGTGTGGAGGTGAGAGCAGGGGGCAGGGGTAGGAGTATTGTTCTTTGGACCCCATAAGAACGTCAGGGTTTCTCAAAGGCGGCATGGTTTCAGGACTGAGGCCTGGCCTGAGGTTTGGGGAGGGAAATGGCTGGACTGGGATGGCAGATCTGAGAGGAATCTCAGGCACAGAAACAGTCAGTCTGGGGATGGCTTTCCATCTAATTTCAGGAATAAAACCAGATGGGACACTTCAGGGGTGGGGAAGAAGTGGTTTAAAATGGAGCTGCAATTAAAGGGCTGGGGATGAGATGGGGCACGGGCAAGCCAGTTTCTGAGATCAAATGGAAGACCTCTAAGCAGCAGCAAGGAGTGAAGGGGCTGACGGGTTCAGAAAGGAGGCTGGGTACAGGGGGACTGGTTTCTCTAGCTGTGGTGCATGATTGGGTGAGTGCTCTTCCAGCCCTAGCAGTGACCCCCAGCTGAGACTCCAGCAGTGCTGGTGGGGTGGAGAGGGAAAAGAAACCACTGCAACGCTGTATGGGCCTGGGGCAACACAGAGCCTGCCTTGCTCACTGGAGGAGCGTGACGCTACTCGAGGCGAATCACTGGGGGGGCAGGGGGAGAGAGCTCTCCACCGAATGAGAGAGGCACCAGGGGTGGGGGAAGGCTGGGCAGATTCAGGGTGCGATGGGAAGAAGCCCATTCACCCTAGTCAATCTCATTTTCATTGCTGGCTCCTTCAGGTCTCCGTAGCTTCTCCACCTGCTCGTTAATCTGCCCATCCCCTCCTCGCCGGTCCTCAGTCTGGACGCCCAGGCACTCCTCTTCATCCACATGGCTGACATCATCATCCTCATCGTCCTCTTCCTCCTCCTCGTGCCCTTTGTCCTCCTTCTTCTCTTCCTCGCCCTGCACTTCCATTCGCACCTGGCCCTTGACGTCCATCACCACCTCGCCCCCCTCCTCCGGACCCAGCAGGTGGCAGCTGACCTTTGCCCCTTCTGGGCTGTGGTTCTCCTTCACGGGTGATGAGGAGGCGGACTCATTGCTGACGGGCGAGATGTCACTGCTGCTGTTGTGGTTGGTAACAATGGGGTTGGAGGGCGAGGCAGGCTTCACCGGGATTTGCCATGATGGGATCTTGGGGGCTGAAGGGGAGGGTGGGAACTGCCTCCTTGTGGGGAGGGGAACGAGAAAAAGGAGTTTTTATTACAAACTCTGCAAGGGGAATCACCAGCAAGTCTCCTCTGCAATAAAGGAATAGTCATGAGGCCCCTGGTGCCAAGATGTCAAAGCACTTTACAATCATCCAGGAACTGAGCCCAGACGTGCGAGGGAAATATTACCCTGGTTTGGAGCTGGGCAAACTGAAGTGGTGAGAGACTTAAGAGTTGGCCAAATTCACAGAGGGAGCTAGGATAGAGCTTAGGTGCTTTCTGAGTCCTCCGCTCAAGTTGTAGCCACTAGGGAGCACTGCCTCTGATCAGACAGGGAAGTTTCACTTTCCCTTCACAACCATCCTAGTTGGGGAAGATCAATGTGAGGAATCAGGAGCTTCAACTGCCCCAAGTCTGAGCTGCGGTGAAGCTGCAGCCTGGCACCCCACTGTCTCCTCGTGCAGGTGTGCGCATGCACTAGCTCGCTGCAGTCCAAGCCACCTCTGCTGGGCCTAGTGTGCCCTACCCCTCAGGGCTAAAGGCTCAGCAGTTGTAAAGCAGTTTAGCTCCACTGACTTCTATGGAGTTACACTAATTTACATCAGCTGAGGAGCAGCCCAGATAGCCACATGGGGGAAAAGGGGCATGCTCCCTCTGGTGCCTTTGGAAACACCTCTGTCACCCAGAAAAGCACTCAACCAGGGCCTGATCCTGCATTCCTCACACAGCCCCAGTTCCCGCTGATGAGCGTGCACTTCAGCACGCATAGGAATATGGGATCTGACCCATAAAGTGAAAGTGAGCGTGGGAAAGCGTTGTGTGTTGAACTGGCTTGTACCAAAGGCTGCTCCAGAAGAGATCCAGGGAGGCCAGCTGCCTTTCTGCATTGAGTGTTCAAATGAGGCCAATGCAACAGATTTAATTTTCTTCGGCAGACCTAAAAACAATTGCACTCACTTCCCTCCCCCTGCCAGTGGCCTTGGAGGAGCTCTGCCGTTCTAGCCTCCATCTCGTCCGAGTGCAAACAAGCTAATGTCTGCATTATTCACCAGGATCATAAATGTTATCAAGAAATTCAATTTGGAGACTTTCTTGGCTCCAATGTTGCTGCCGCCTGCTCACTGCTGGGAGATATGCTTTTTGTTTTTGTTTTATTTTTATTTTCCAAAAGCACTTATCCCCAGGGTGCAGAAAAATACTGAATTTCCCTTAATGACAGCTCTCCCCTCGCCCACTCTAAGGAGTTCTATCCCTTGCCGCCAGTCCAAATGCACGAACCTGGGCAGAACCCTTCTCACTGGAAAGGCGAAGGGCCGGGTAGCCCTGTGAGCTGCGCCGTTTAGCTGGCCTGAGACAGAAAGTCACGCCAAAGTATGGCCAGGCTTGTGAGCTCTGCCCAAAAATCTCAGAGTGACACTCTTCTCCCCCAATCTCTGCCCCCTTGGAGGGGATTCAATAGCCAATGCCCTTGCTCCGAAAAGAAGGTTAGTGTGACCCCCAATCGATGGAAATGGGACCTGTGACTTCTCCCAGAGAGTGATATAACATAACCCCAGTTCCCCAAAGCTTTCTACTGTGAGTTTTGCTGGACTGGGGCAAGGTTCCTCAGATACAGATTTTAAAAAAATCAAGCCCCACCCAATTTACAGGCCTCTGTACCCATTTAGAGTATCCGCTTATGTCCAGCAGCTGTTTGATCTCATCTTTAATGGGTCTTTGGGCCTACCTATGTCATACAGCAGTGGCAATGGGCAGCCTTTGTTACATTTGGGCAAACAGACAAGGTAAGATGGGAAGAATAAAGCACCAATGACTCTACGGGAAGGTGACCTTGGGGTTAAATCAGAGATTGTGAGCCCCATTCCTGTCTTTTCTGTTTACTCTCTCAGTGTCAGTCAATCTCTATCCCAAATGGAAACAATAAAAGTTACTTATCTTCCAGGGGCACCCTAAGGTTTAATGCATGTTTGTAAAGTGCTTTGAGACCCTTGGATAGAACATAAGAACGGCCATACTGGGTCAGACCAAAGGTCCATCTAGCCCAGTATCCTGTCTGTCGACAGTGGCCAATACCAGATGCCCCAGAGGGAGGGATCACAACAGGTAATCCTCACGTGATCCTTCCCTGTCACCCACTTCCAGAGAAACAAAGACTAGGGACCCCATTCCTACTCATCCTGGCTAAGAGACATTGATAGACCTAACCTCCATTAATCAATCTAGCTCTTTTTTGAACCCTGTTAAAATTCTAGCTTTCACCGCATCCTCTAGCAAGGAGTTCCACAGGTTGACTGTGTGCTGAGTGGAAAAAAAACTTCCTTTTGTTTGTTTTAAAACGGCTGCCTATTAATTCCATTAGGTGACCCCTAGTTCTTATATTGTGGGAATAAGTAAATAACTTTTCCTTATTCACTTTTTCCATACCATTCATGATTTTATAGCCCTCTATCATATCCCCTCTTAGTCTCCTCTTTTCTAAGCTGAAAAGTCCAAGTCTTTTTAATCTCTCTTCATATGGGACCCGTTCCAAACTCCTAATCATTTTGTTGCCAAAAGGAAGGCAACAGTGAAGTGCAAAGTAATCTTATTAAAGAGCATTGACAGAGGAGCTAGGGCTAGGTCCTTCTGATACTGTCCTCCTTCCTGAGGGAATTCCCAAGGACTGCCACCCTCCCTGCCCTGCTATCCCACTCATGTACCCCTCCTTACCGATTTAGAAGGAGCCCTTTTAATGAGTAGATCTCAGATTTCAATTCATTGATATTCTGTGACTCTAGGATCCAGTTGGTGGAAGTGGTAGCCTAGGACACAAAAATTAGAGGCAATGATGAGTGAGTGGATTGGAAGATAACTCAGAGCTGTTCTCTCTCCTACCCTCTCTCTTCACCACCAGTCTTCAGCAACGGGCTACTGTGCCTGGGCTCTGACATCTCAGTGCTGGGTAGAGGGATTTCTGCAATGTGAACTTTGCATCTGAGCAGCTCCCGATTCTGTTGACAGCTTCCAAAGAAAACTTCTTTGCTCTGATGCTAGGAGGAGTCAAAGATTTCTCTTCCATTCTTGGGAAGGGTTAACCCGCTTCCAAACACACTTTGCACAGATTAGGATCCATGCATCAAGCCTAGCCTTTGCCAAAGCAACCCCAAGGGAGATTTCTTCTCTTTTTCTTAAAAAGGGGAAGCAAGTATTTGCGAGGGCTCTAAACAGAGATCCCTACAGCAAGGAATCTGTAAGAAAACCTAAGTACCTAGTCACAGAACCAGCGCAGCACATCTGAGAATCAATGCGAGCTTCCTCACATGGGCCTGCCAGCATGCCCAGCCCTGACCTGGCTGGACTACTTCTAGAGAAGAGGGCATGAGATTTTCAGTCAAAATTTCAAAAGCACGAGTGATTTAGATCCTAGGTCCCACGGAAAATTGTTGGGATGTATTAAAATTGTTACCTTATGCCTAGAAAGCAGAGTCAATTCCATCCTTTCCTGACATTGCCCTCAGTTAAGGGAACTGATTATAATCTGAATACTTGCACGCTAGGAACCGAACTGACTAACTCAATCTCTCCTAAATCACCAAAAAACTCTACTGTATGGAGGTTCTAGGTCAACTGAGCAATAGATATTTAAAAGCCCAAAGGACTTTCCTCTGGATCAGAACAAGTAGAGCTGTGCCTGAACTACCAGACTATCTCCAGGAAGCAGCTGTACTAGGTACTCTCCTCTGGAAATTTCAAGGCAAAGAGCCCAAGTTGGTGGGGAAAGATGATGAGCAATTCAAGTAACTCTAGTATAGCTGCTACTGGCACCATATTGAAGAGTAATGTCTGTCTGATAGTGGATGGAAACTGGGGCACAGCACAGCTTTTGGAAGGTTTATTGCAAGTAATAACTTGGCCGTTTTTATTTTATACCTTCATGGGACTAGAAGCAGGATCTCTGCTTCCCATGACCAGACTAATTTTGCCTTCACGTGTACATACGGCAAAGGGAAGAGCTCTCAGAAAAAGAAACAATCTCCTGCATTGAAAGTGCCCCTCCTCCTCCAATCCCAAGAACGGCCATATTGGGTTAGACCAATGGTCCATCTCATCCAGTATCACGTTTTCCAACAGGGACTAGTGCCAGATGCTTCTGAGACAATAAAGAGAATGGGGCAATTTTCAAGTGATCCATCCTGTTCTCCAGTCTCATTTTATGGCAGTCAGAGGTTTAGGGAGCCAGAGCATGTGACTGTGTGCTCAACCATCTTAGCTAACAGCCATGAAGTTATATCCTTCACGAATCTATCTTTTTAAAATCCTGTTATACTTTTGACCATCACAACATCCTTTGGCAAAGACTTTCACAGATTTACTGCACCTTGTATGAAGTACTTCTTATATTTATTTTAAACCTGCTACCTATTAATTTAATTGGATGAAACCTGGTTCTTGTGTAATGTAAAGGGTAAATAAAAGTCCTTATTCACTTTCTCCACACCATTCAAGATTGTATAGACCTGTTATATCCTCCTTCGTCATGTCTTTTCTACTCTGATCAGTTCCTATCTTTTTAATCTCTCCTCATATGGAAGCTGTTCCATGCCTCTAATAATTTTTGTTGCACATTTTCCAGTTCTAACTTTTTTGAAACGGGGTGATCACAACTGCATGCAGCATTCAAGGTGTGGGCGTCTCATGGATTCATATAGTGGCATTATGATATTTTGTTTTATTATCTGTTTCCTAATGGTTCCTAACATTCTGTTAGCTTTTTTTTTGACCAATTCAGCACACTGAGTGGATGTTATCAGAGAACTATCCACATTGATGCCAAGATCTCTTTTTTGAGTGGTAACAGCTAATTGAGACCCCACCATTTTGTATGTACATTTGGGATTGTGTTTATTGTGCATTAAACAATATTGAATTTCATCAGCCATTTTGATCCCAGTCACCCAGTTTTTTGAGATCCCTTTGTAACTTTTTACATTTAGCTTTGGACTTTATTATCTTGTGAAATTTTGAATCTTCTGCACATTTGTTCACACCACTGTTTACTGCTTTTTTCTCAATCATTTATGAGTATGTTGAAAAGCACTTATCCCAGTGCAGATCCTTGCGGGAGCTGGCTACTACCTCTCTCCACTGTGAAAGCTATTTATTCCTACATATTGTTTTCTATTTATTCCTCTAACTTTTAAGGAATTACTGATCCAGGAGAGGAACGGCCTGCTCATCTCATGACTGCCAACTTTGCTTACAAGTGTTTGGTGAGAGACCTTGGTCAAAGGCTTCATGAAAGGCCAAGTACACTTTATCTACTGGATCATCCTAGTCCATAGATTTGACGACACCTGCAAAGAATTTTAATAGAATGGTGAGGCCTGATTTCCCATTACAAACGCAGTGTTGCCTCTTCCCCCACATACTGTGTTCTATTGTGTGTCTGATAATTCTGTTCTTGACCATAGTTTCAACCAATTTGCCTGGTTCTGAAGTTAGGCTTACTGCCCTGTAATTTCCAGGACTGCCTCTGGAACATTTTTTAAAAATCAATGTTATATTAGTTCTTTGTCAGTCATCTGGCACACTGGCTAATTGAATCAATGAGTGACATAGTACAGTTAGTAGTTCTCCAGTTTCATTCCTGAGTTCCTTCAGAACTTGTGGGTAAATACTATTTTGTTCTGGACACTTATGACTGTTCAACTTATCAATTTGTTCCAAATCCTCCTTGACCGACATCTCAGTGTTGGACAGTTTCTCAGATTTGTCACCTAAAACAATGGCTCAGGTGTGGGAATCTCCCTCATTTCCTCAGCAGTGAAGACTGATGCAAAGAACTCACTCAGCTTCTTCACAATGGCCTTAAAGAGGGTCTTTCTTGAGGGCTCCTTTAGCACCTCAATTATCCAGTGGCCCCACTGATTTTTTGTCAGGCTTCCTACTTCTGAGGTACTTTTTACACTTGACTTGCCAGAGTTTAGGGGCTCCAATTAGAAGGAGATACAAATGGAGTAAATTCCTCCAAAGGCAGAACTGCCTACAATGATTTCTGCTGGCAGGGACTGAGGATGGAGTTAGTGTGAGAACCCCCACAGCCAGTGCTCAAGGACTGGAGCTGCCAACTCCTCCACACAAATTCCAACCGGGAGAATTTGGGACTGTAAGCTCCCACACGGCCTGTGTTCCTGCTCATTTCTTACACAGGCTTCAGTAGGGGCTGGACAGACACAAGCACCTTCACAGCCAACATTCCCTACAGTGATTCCAGCTGGGAGAGACTCAGTCTGTAATAGCTGTGATATACACAGATGCGTTCCCTTGGGATTCACACTCCCAGCCCTCAGACAGCGAGAATCCAGGAGCCACTGTTCTGGCTCTCCAAGACTTGAAAGCTACATCAGCACTTTAACAAGAGAGTGATTTCCACTCACCGGCCTGCACAGGACTCAAATTTCCAAAACACATATGGTGCCAGATGCCTAGGATTTAGAAATAAAATCCGACATCTGGGGCTTTTTAGCTAGTCTCTTTAAAAAACAGTTGTAGAAAATTCAAGGCTTGAGTTTTTATGTAGGTTTTTTAATTACTTAAAACCCCTCTTTTTAATTTTTTACAGCATGCCAGTAGGAGTTTGAAAAGCAGATATAAAAACTTACATTACAGCTGAGAAAACACAGCTTTTACTCTTTGGTTTGTGGGGTTGCCCAAGTCTCTGTACACAGGAGGTTGAGACACCATAACAGCGTGCATTACCATTTCAGCACAGAAGAGGAAAGAAGGGAGGGAGAACTTTTTAAAGACTCTGTAAACCACCAAGACTCCTATGCCCTTTTCCCTTTCGAGATCCCAACATGTGGTCTTAATCTTAACACTTACGACCTGAAAACAGTTTTTCAATTTCCGGACTGGCTCCAGGCCATTGACGGGCCACGGTTCCCAAGGAAAGCGAGTGGATAGGTGGATAAATTGGCTTTCACGGCTGGGTTTACAATTGTGCTTCTAAGGGATTCCTACTGTAAGGTATATTCCCTGCACAGCCAGAGCTGGCCCACAGGCTATCCACCATCAAAGTGTTTACAAGAAACTGGAGCCTGGAGAAGGCTGGAGATGGAGGACTCCTCTATAAATACCTAACTGTTTCAGGGATTGCGCTATAGAGGGGGCTAAAGCCCTCATTCTCCAGTTATTGGCAGGCAAAGAAGGCAGTGACTGGTCCCAGGGATAAGGAGAGGAAGGCTTTCATCTCTAGGTCACCTGTTCATATTCAGGAATGACTGACATCTGCTGGCTGCTGGGAGACCGAGAACAGCGGCTGTAAAGCACTTCAGAGATGAAAAGCGCTGCTGTCCTCACAATGCAAACTGATCTTGGCCCAATTCCCAAACTCACAAGTACCCACATAACATGCCAGTCACCAGGTGCAGTAACCAGTCTCCTTGTGATCAGTCTCAGCACAGGCACCAAGAACTGCACAGGCCATGCAGACTGCACTCCAATCTCAGCCTTAGAGATGATTCCTCTTGTTTGGTGCTTGCACTGCTCCTGTGCTTTGGCTGCTCTATGCACAGTCCCTGCCCTTCCTGATAAAGAGTGCCAACGAGGCTGCCAATGTGTACCAAACTTGAGGGTGGCACCACCTATTGGACTGAGACCACCAAAACCATTCACACAGGTCAGCCAACAGCCACTGGATAGCAATAACATTCAGTTGTTACCTGGCCTGAAATGAAACAGGTGACTCAGGGCATGACTTCACTATGGGCAAGCGAGATAGGCAGAGGGGAACCGATTTACATCTAGTATAGACATGACAAATCAACTGCCGAGTGCTTTCCCATTGATTCCGGTGTTCCACCAGCACAAGAAGAGTAAGCAGAGTCAACGGGAGAGCATCAACTGTCAACTTACCACGGTGAAGATACCGCAGTAAGCATACCTTCCTATGCTGACTTCAGCTACGTTATTCATGTCACTGAAGTTGCGTAACTGAGGTTGACAGCCCAAGGCAGTACAGGCAAGAGGCCTACAATGCAAAAGAGTCCATAGCCCCTTCCCAGTCTCAAGTCATATAATCCAACTGATCTGTGTTTGAATACTTTGAAGTAAGGGCACTGATTTGCACTGAGATACTGTGGTGATGGGCACAGAATAGATACCTGCATTAACAGGCACATCAACAGACAGAGGATTAAAATATACAAACATCTACCTCTATCCTTTTCCTCCTTCAGCCCATGGGTAGGAAGAAGGGCCACTTCTGCTCCCTATCATTCCAACTGGATATACAATGAGCTCTCCTACAAGGAACACTAACTGTACAGCTGAGAGCAATTAAGGAGATGGTGGACATGAAAGATGCAAATGACACCCTCTGAGAAGCCCTATATGTTAGCTTGGGGCACCCAGTCAGCACCCATTACTCTATCCAGGCACCCTTGAGAGACAAAGTTGGATACACAAACTGACCAGACAGGATGAAGACAGGGGCTGGAGAAGCCATGTACACTAAAAAGAGACAGGAGAATTTCTGACAGGTGGCCTAGAGAAGAGATGGAGGTGAATACCTTTGCAGCAGCTAGCTCTTGGGTTAGCTCCTGGATTTTCTGCTGTTGCTGCACCAACAGTTCCTGGACAGACGCTAAAGTTGTCTGCAACTGAGTCACTGTGGGATGGAAAAGCAGGAGTTTCTATTAAACTGAGACATACACACATATCCTTCCTGCTGTCTAGCTACAAGATGCCTCTGTTCCTGCTATATCTAATTTATCTACAGATGCCTGTTCACCTTAATCCATATAAATTATTTGCACTATGGGTAATCTACCTGCACTGCATCTAACCTCCAGTATTTCTAGTTTATCTTTCCATTGTAGAGATGTCTATAAGCCCACAGTATATCCATCCAAAACCTCTCCTTTCTAATTATATCAGTTTATGATTTGCACATCTCTCTGAACTTATACAATGTTCGTACCATTTATCCACCTCGGGCCTCACACAGGCACATGATACAGGGTTTATCTCTAGTTTTGAAACCCACAGGTGCCTGGATCAATTCCAGAATGGAGTGAGAAAAGAAAGCAAGCCTCTTTTATGCACTTCCTCTGCCAGCAGGTCCAGTTAGCTCCCACCTTGGGACCACCTCTCTTTCACCCCATGAAGGCTGTAACAAACCTGCTATGTTCTCTCTTGTCTCAACAGCTGACCACACACTCAGCACCCTCTCCTGGATTTCAGCAGAAACCTCCCCTATTAGAACAGGAACCTGTGTCTGGAGGGAGGGGAACTGCCTGCAGCTTTGGCGGTTTTAGCTGGAGTTTTCATCCAGTAAACAACTTGACAAAAAAAAAATCTATTGGCGTGACAGGTAACAGCTAATCTGGGCCATCATTAGGGCACTGGGTAATGAACAGGCGCCCTATGGAGTCAATAACAGAGAAGGTGGCTGGGGTCAATGGAGGCACAGTAATTACAGACTCTCTTGACCCTGCTTTGGATTCTTGGAGGCAACGGGGGGAGAAATCACCAAAAAAAGCCCCTGAAAACCTCAGAGAAGCAGAAATTAAAAATGAACTTTACAGCCCTCCGAAAGGCTGTCATTTTATTCCCCTTATTAATATTCTGAGGTTGGGAGCCTTTCCGTAAAAACATAATTAATTGAGGCCGCGCCGACAGTAAACAAGCAATTTCAAATTAAACCGAAATGACGGCGGCTTCATTTGCAAATGTGAACAGATTCTCAGAGCAGATAAATGAAGTCACCACATAAAGTGGAGATGGAGGAGAAGAGGGAGGGGGGTCTGGGCAGGGTGGAGGATACAGGGAGAAGGGCTTTGAGGGGTGAATTGATGGAGTCATTAATCTTTACCTGTCTGTGTCACGCTGCCACTCATCTCAGAAATGTTTGCCTCAATCCTCTGAAGTTGTTTTCTGTCTTCTTTGCCTCCCATGATGAGAGGGAGCAGGTATTTCTGCACAGAGCATGGAGATGTTGTTAAGAAATGGGGATATGCCAGGAGTTTCTTCTAACCTATCCCAAACACCCCAGAGCCCACCAGACATTTTTAACCCTCTCCCAGAAACGGCCATCTTCCCATATGATGAAGAGAGCGGTGCCCTGGAAAAAGGAATTCAAATAAGTCACAAGAAAACAGAAGGACTTTTGTGCTCTTTTCCCCAGAGGCTCTGAGAGAAGGTCCTTGGCTCTATTTAGGAAAATTCTCAGCCTACCACCCTTTCCACAACCATATTCAGAAGGGATTTCAACTCCACTTCACTCATCTCTCATGAGACTATAGCTTTATCCACAAGGAAGGCAATGCAGAGCCTAGAGAAGAGGCGAGCACAGGTATGGAGAGGTCAGGGCATAAAAAGAGAGGGAAGAGAAAATGACAGAGACTGGTAGGTAGTATAGTGGTGGGCTAAGCAGAGTTCTGGGGAAACAGGATTGAGAGAGCAGAGGAGATGGAGCAAAGGTAGAGAGGATCTGAGGTAACAAGTGGAGGCTCTGAGCCATGCACGCAACTGCAAGGGAGGTGCTAATATAGATAATCAGGGCACTAGAGGAGTAGTGGCAGCTCGATGACATCATACACAGTGGCAATGAAATCAAACTCAGCCTCCTCTTGTAACACATTGTAGGCATCCCTAATTACTGGGGTCCCTTCTGGGGCACAGCTACCTAAACTGAGTGTGGAGTATAACAAGAGCACATTCAGGATATGTCTACACAGCAAAGTTATTTCGAAATAACAGCCGTTATTTCTAAATAACTATCCTAGCGTCTACACAAGTCAACTGCTATTTCAAAATTTAATTTGAAATAGCGGAGGCCTTATTTCAAAATTGGTAAACCTCATTCCATGAGGAATAGGGCCAATTTCGAAATTGCTATTTCGAAATAAGCGCTGTGTAGATGCTTATTTCAAAATAGGGAGACTCCAGCCCTTCCCAGGGTGCCCTGCTGGCCGCCCTGGCCACAAGGTAACTTCTGACCTGATGCCCTGACGGAACCAGTTCCAGCTGGCCTTAAATGCGATTCAGCATCCAATCAGTGTGGACGCGCTATTTCGAAACAGCAAAAAGCTATTTTAAAATGCATTTTGTGTGTAGACGCCTTATTTTGAAATAAGACATAACTATTTCGAAATAACTCTGTAGTGTAAACATACCCTGTGTAATTTATATAGTTCATTCACCACACCTTTGTCATCAAGAAATTAGTTAAATGTAAATGCGTTTTGTAAGCACATCACTAGCTATGTTAATTTCTTAAATAATATATAAGAGAAAAGTATTTCCAGTAAAATATGCTATGTTAATGTAATTGACATAGCTCATTCATTACGCCTTTTACTATATTTTCCCCGGGGGACGCCAGGTATTTCTGCTAGTAAATAAATAATAATCTATGCTCTGAACAAACTACTTAATAAAATTTCAGATTTTTAAAACTTAAGCAACAATAAACAGCATTACTAAAATTTGCTGATTCAAAACATACATGTTTTTATACCACTACTTTTCAATTTAGGCCTTTATTCAAGAGTGCCAAACACTTCTTAAGGTCAGATCAGTAAGATGAAGGTTTGTCTATTTTTTTTCTGTATCTATTGAGCCTTAAGTCTACATTCCTAAACACAATAAGCGTGATGGCAACAAGAGCACGCAGAGACAAAATGCTTTGCTATCCCTCACTGAGGAAGGCAAGCAAGCAGGGAAAGCTGAGAACTGGCTGTCCGGGGGGCAGTCCCTTTAAGCACAGGCCTCAGATAGCCTCAAGCAGCAGCCACACAAAGTAACTCCTGACCTGATGCCCTGCTGGACCTGGTTCCAGCTGGCCTTAAATGCGATTCAGCGTCCTTTCAGTGCGGACGCGCTATTTTGAAATAGCAAAATGCTATTTCGAAATGCATTTTGTGTGTAGATGCATTATTTCAAAATAACTTATTTTGAATTAATATTTCGAAATGAGATATTTCGAAATAACGCTGTAGTGTAGACATACCCTCAGACACAGCATGAATGGGGAAAGAGGGAAAAAGGAGAGAGGGGGGAGTAACCAGGGTGCATAAACAGTCTCAATTACAAGGAACAGTTTGCCTAATGGCTCCTTCGTAGTCTGATTTTTTTCCAGAGAGACATACTCAAAAGAATGGTTCTCACACAGGCATGAGGGGTCTAGGACAGCAATATCCGCTTCTTGAATTCGGTGCTGTTGGTTGTAGAGAGATCTAGCTGGTCTCTACATTTAGCTCTGACACACACATCCAGCCACCAGGAATGGATTTAGAAAGGAACTTTAGATGCTGTAGCCCAGGGCCTCAAAAAAGATCTCTGGGCCACCAAATGAGCTAACCTTTTATGAGGCCTCTTTAGCGCCCAGGATGCAGTCACTAATGCCCCTGTGCATTATCTGGCCCTGTCTGGCTGGGGTGGGGGGGAAGAGGCCAGGAAGGGAAGCAGCTCTGTGCACAGCTGTCTTCCCTGCAGGGCTGGAGCCGAGTCACCACAAGTGCTGGGGGAGTTCCATCCTTTACACTGCCATTACCTACATGCTCTTCCCCTGCAGCTCCCATTGGCTAGGATTCCTGGCCAATGGGAGCTGCCGGTGGTAGTGGCCACAGTACCTGCAGGTGAGCACAGGGCAGGCCAGCCCATGCTGAGCCACCTGCTCCCCCCAGCCAAAGGGAGCTGTTCCAGGTAAGTGACTGGGACCCCAACCCCTTACCTAAGCCCTGAGACCCCTCCCACCTGCCAACTTCCTCCCAGACTCAGCACCCCAACATCCTGCCTGTCCCTGAGATTCCTTGCATTGTAGGCCCTTGACTCCACACCCCAACCCTGACCACTAGCCCTGAGCCAGCTCCAGCACCCCAACTCCCATGCAGACCCTGCACCCACAACCTAACCTCCTGTCCTGACTCCCCTCCTGCACACAAAATCCTTTGGCCCCCACTGTGGAGCCCCTTCCTGCACCCCAAATGCCTCATCTCCAGCCCCACCAGAGACTGCACTCCCAGTCAGAACCTGCACTGACCTTCCTGCCTCAACCTGCAGCCCCCTCCCGCATTCTGAACCCCTCAATTTGGCCCCACCCTGGGTCCAAGGGGACCCCACAATATCTAACAAACCCAAGGCTCCCAAAAGAGTTAATCTAACTCTGCCAGTCACTCCACTTTCTTCCTTCCACTATTCTGAGGAGCAAGCTGCTTTTGATGACTCCCAAAGAAAACAAAGTGCAGTGAACAGAAGGTTCTGTTCTGAACCTCCTGGAACACTCATACCAATGGCTTGGCAGGGTGCTTTTATTTTTCAGATAAAGGCCACTAGCGCAAGTGCAAAAATCGCATCATCTGCCAAAGAAACGTATGCACCAGTTACACTTGGGGAGCTGACCCAAGGCATCCTTGGCTCCCATAAGCGAACAGGGGCCTCTGCTGGATAACCAAGGTGTCTTGTATGGGCTGGATGGAGCGGAGATCTGCACACAAAGAAAATGGCAGTGGGATGCAGTCTATTGTCACCATCACTGAGACTGTCAGATATTGTCAATAAAATAATGGACTTTTTTGTAGTAGCTGACACTTTACAACAGCAATAAGGCCCACCAGGCAGGCCAGTCTGTTATGAATCCAGTAAGGACCAGTAGCTCCTTCCGCAGTGTCACTCTGGGCATTTATCAACCCCCACCTATCTTTACAGTACGAATGGACCAGGCAGACAAACATCATTGCTCAGCATGAAACAGTCAGAAGCAAGGGCGCAATGGGAACAGCCATGTAAGGAGCTACCTTGTGCAATCCTGGAACATGCTCCCCATACTGACCTTCCCCAGGCCATCGTAATTAATGAAAAGGAAAAATAAAAATGATCGAGGGTGTTTTTAAAAGCATTTAGCTTTAAACACGGGCTTTGCCAAACACACCAATCTGACCAATTTAATAAAAAACAACCACCACCCTCTCACAAGCCAACTGTTACTTTCCATCTCATTCCCATGCCCCAGACACACCCGCTTTGCAAGTGGAACGTAATATACCAAGTGAGTGGCTGCTGAACTCCATTGGTACCGGAGCCACTTGGCTTTTGACCCCATGCCTTGCTACTCAACCCGTGAGTTGGGTTCTCTCCCAACAACCTCTGCAATGTGAGCTGGGGACCAGGTCTTTAGTGACAGAGAAAGAGAGTGTGTCCAGCCAGATAAATGCACAGGGGGTATGTAGGTCTACACACTTGCTATACACATCTACTGGGAAGTAGACAGAACTGGAGTTTAAAATCTTCCCTTCGGCCTACTGACCAGCCAAAGGAGAGCTGTCTCTAGTTCATGGAGGCAATGTAATCTAGTGGTTAGAGCAACAGACTGCACTCAGGACACCTGGGTTCATTCCCTGCTACTGTCACCGGCCTGCTAGTTCAGCTGGGGCAAGTCACTTCATCTCCCTTTGCTAGTTTCCCCAACGACCTCATTTGTCATGCACTTTGAGATTTACCAATGCAAAGCAGTAGATAAGAGCTATTATTATTAAAGACCTCTGCTCGCCACTTGCTGCATGTCCATATAGCACTGCACATACACCCAAATGAAGACTGATAAAAGCAGTGGCTCCAAGGACTTCATTGCAACCAAGAGCCAGCATGGGACATGGGCAATTCCAAGGCTGCAATGGAGCACCAAGGCACCTTAAGGTAGTAGGGAGAGCACTACTTACTTTGTAGAGCTGTTGGAAGCCAAAGGCAATCCCTGCCATAATGATCGCCAACGCACCATAGTCTCGCCATCTGGATCCGGGGGGACCTAATGGCCAAAAGCAAGAAAGAAGCATGGTCAGAACTCACATGCATCAAGGCTTTTCGGGATCTGTGTGCATCTCACCCAAACACCCAATTCAGGCACAGTCAGGCAGGGTGATGCCAACTCTTATTTCCTAACCCTTTAACAGAGAGAGTGAGGAGGGGATCAAAATCATACCAGCAATTAAGAGTCACATTGGTCCTGTTCAGCCTACAGTCTTCTTGGAGAAGACTCTCAAATCTCTGCTGCATTGACCCTGGCAAGCCTTTTCATTTAGTATTAGCTTAGTCTAATCATGCTTTCACAGATCACTCTTTCAGAAACCTGGGAAGGAGAAGAAATCTCAGGAAGTAAAGGAGGGACAGAAAGGAGAAACGTTCTCTGGAAGTGAAGTAATACTCCGGGGGGGGGGGGGGGGGGGGGGGGGAGGAAGGGAGAGGGAAGTGTTCTGTGACAGCCTTTATGTATGGTTTCCTTAAAATACAGGAACAAATGGGGATTCCACGGCTTTCTTGGCTGAATTAAGAGCAGGGCAAAGGCAAATGAAAAGCAGCAGAGCCGGAATATGCACTAAGACAACTAGAGAGAGTGGAAAGAGGGGTGTGAGATATTTAACACACAGTTTTGCATAGGTGCATAAAGATTCAACGAAGCAAAGATTCAGTCTGCTCCTCTGTTACAAATAGAATCCGCCAGATTCACCCTTTTACCTCCTTTTGCAGCACTCATAACACTCCTGCTAAGATTCCTATACTGTTCCCCGTTTCCATTAATAATGAGGCTGTAGACTAGAGTGATCTTTCCTAAAATTTGGTGGCAGGATGTGGGCAGACACCAAAGAAGCAAAGGCTGGCAGGAAGCCACTAACCAGACACATTACCTACGAGGGATATAAAATCCTGTTTAAATTACATTATGTTTAATTGGTGAACTAATTAAGCGGGATTCCAAGGGAGAGTGGATGCTGTGGGCCCAGCCCAGCCAGAGCCGCCCCCAACTCCATGGGACTGCTGGCCCCTCGCCCCACAGGGCTACTGGCAGAGGCTGGTCCCAGATGCCAGTTAACCAGTTACCGGTGATCTCCACCCGGCAAGGATAACTGGCTACTTGTTCACATCCCTATAACCTACTAGTGTTTCAGAGACATAGTGTCTCCTCCAAATTGTCAACTGGGACTTCCAGGAGAGAGAGGCTTAATTGGTGGAGATAACTTTAAACATACCTCTCGTCTATCTGGTTCACTCATTGTCCATGGAGATTTCCTGCTGCTTACTCCTTCATTGCAAGAATTCTTCTGAAACCCCAGCCCCTCAGGCGCTACAGATAGAAAATGTGCCCTTAATGGAGGCATCATGGGAACCTCCTACCTTTAAGGGCATGGTTCCCAGTGTACCTACCAAATGGAAATCTGAATGCATCCGAACAAAGCCTGTGTCACCAGAAGGAGCAAAGGTCTCAAGTTACAGTGGGACAGGTCTAGGTTGGATATTAGGGAAAACTATTTCAGTAGGAGGGTGGTGAAGCACTGGAATGGGTTACCTAGGGAGCATAGAATCATAGAGCTGGAAGAGACCTCAGGAGGTCATTAAGTCCAGCCCCCTGCCCAAGGCAGGACCAATCCCAACTAAATCAACCCAGCCAGGGCTTTGTCAAGACAAGACTTAAACACATCTAGGGATGGAGATTCCATTGAATGCCTCCTCAAGGGTCCTGTATTAGCTTCCTCCTTTATCTGGAGAACTCCCTCACCAAACTCCCTGTTAACAGCTGCTGTTCGCAAGCTCCATCCCTAGAGGTTTTTAAGTCTTGGCTTGACAAAGCCCTGGCTGGGTTGATTTAGTTGGGATTGGTCCTGCCTTGGGCAGGGGGCTGGACTTAATGACCTCCTGAGGTCTCTTCCAGCTCTATGATTCTATGAACTTGTAGAACGAACAGTAGTAGTCTGAAGAGCTAAATGAGTGGAGGACCAACAATCTCTGTGAGCGCAGCATCTGCTGCTTTAGAGCTTGTGAAAATCTCTTATTTATCCATTTTCATATTTCTTAAGAGCTCTGCTCAAGATGCAACACCCAGTTCTGAATGGAATAACCTTCCTAATCCAATGTTTCATCCCAGCCAAGCTTAGAGTCAAACAAGAGGGAATCTACTGTCACACTTGGGGGTCAGTGGCTCAGCTGGGATTTGAACTCTGGATCTGCTTAGAATTCCAGTTCTCTGTGCTGAACCCCACCCTAAAAACATCTTTCCCTGACAAAGGAACTCATTCGACGGTGAACTCCCAACCATTAATTAATCTCAGAGGTGCAATGGGTCCCAACTGTGCCCAGCCCTCCTCTAGTTGTCCCCACCTACCACATATCTTCTATGACCTCCTTTGGAATTAAGAGACACCTGTAGATCCCTGTCAGCTTTGCCCTTTCACCTCTCTCATCTTTCCCTCTGTTCATGTAATGCTTGTGCTAAGAACATTTTATTGCCCCCTGGTTTTCATTATTAATGAAAAGGGACCAGAATGATCTTTCCTAAAGTTCAGAGAGTCTATAAAGACAAGAAGCCGAAATGCCATTTTACTCGTTTTAGAGATGTGTGAAACAATTCTGTCTTATAGAAAAAAAGAGAGAGGGAGGGAGGGAGGGAAAGATAGATAAAGAAACTAAGCTGGAGAGGGATAGAGGGAAGACTCTGCATCCACCATGCAATATTACAAAGAGGGGACAGTCACAAGGGATCAGAATTATGATTAAGATCCCCTCTCAGTCTCCCTACTGATTGTTATCTAAGCAAAGGACTGACACTTGGGACTCCAGAGTTCTCCTACAGTGACTTCCTTCTACATTCTTGGGCACTTGCCAATTACCTTACCTTGTGCCTCAGTTTTCCCCAGCTGTAAAATGGGAACTGTAAGACTTATACTGTGAGTGTCAATGACTTAATGCAAAGTAGGTGAAAAGCACTAAATCCTTGAACCCTATTAGTCACTGCATGAAAGGCATGTTGCTCTCTCTTACAGATGGAGAAACTGAGGCACATATGTTCACATGACCTATTGAGGTAGCTCATTTGCTACAGGCAGCTTCATCTATTGGATGGTGATAGTTTGATGGATATTTGCCCAAGGTCACATAGAAAGAATGTATAAAATCTGCATGAATGGAGTCATGGAGAGGGTTGCAGACAATGCCCGTGTGATAAGCAAGCAGCTTTGCACACCAAGCTCAGAAACTCCCCTGAGTTTGCTTGTAATTAAGGGGGCTAGAAATGTAAAAATATATAAACCCAATTAATCATTTAAATATTTAAAGTCAGATTTTTTCCTCACTCCCGTATTAGTGTATTTCATAATACCAGAAGCAGACAGCCTTTTTTTTTCCTTTTTTTTTTTTTTGCTGGGGGTTCATTTCAGACCATGTTTGAACGAGTCAGATTGAGTGATGCTTCCAGCAACTAATCGCATGTCAAATAAAAGATATTTTATGTAATAAATTACCGCTACAAGTAATTCAAATGTCATTTATCAGTTTTATTATCAGTCAGGCAAAGTCTTGTTTCTCTATATTAATCAAAATCAAGCTTTTTTTTTAAAGCAGTTTTGACACCTCTTGGCAAAAGTACAGGAAAGGAGAGAAGGAATTGCCCCCATGGAGATGGGGTGAAATGGTATTAGAAGCATCAAGTTCAAAGACAATGACTGGAAACGTGGAGTTTAATTCCCTTTTCTGCCCCTCAAAAGTTACAGTTGCTGCTCTAAAACCAAACCAGGGACAGATTCTACACTGGCAAGAATCTAAGTTATTTTAGAAGATTTACAGGTTTGTTTTTTTAAAGTACTTGTATGGCTAATAACTATTGTCAATGAAAGATCAAAATTTACTGCCTCCTCTCCCATCACAATCTATGCATCAGATGATATTTAAATACTATATTTGTCTCTTGTAATTTTCTCCTTCGGAATAGTCAAAGTTGCCAAGAGCACTGGAGTCTAAGCACAGAGGAATCTGGTGGGTCTCATAGGATTTAAATTCAGCTCTCGGATTGACCTGCCCTCTGGGAATTTTTGAGCACTACCTACAGAGGTGCTTAGACATTTCGGTGGGGTGAACGGGAGGCATATAAGAACCCAGAATAGATAAAGAGCAGAAATGGGTTCTTTACTATACAGTGCAGCGCCAGAAGAATCTACCAACAATTAAGTGGCTGGGTAAATTATCATGGAAACAACTGCTCTGGGGCAGAGTTGGGGCTTTGAAGAAATATCCATCAAGCTATCACCATCCAACAGATAAAACTGCAAGTAGCAAATGAGCTACCTTAAAAGTTCATTGGGCCAAGTCTGCAGGGACACTCTGTCCTGCAGCTGAGAGTAACTCATCAGCCATAAGGCAATTCATAGATTATTACTTGTACATTTCCAACAGCGAGCAAAGCACTGTATCGGCAGATAATGGCGACAGGCCTATATCTAACCAGACAACACCCAGCAAGTGGAATGGGAAAAGCAATCACGGGATCATAAAATCATAGAATACTAGAACTGGAAAAGACCTTGAGAGATCCAGTCCAGTTCCCCTGTCCTCACGGCAGGACCAAGCACCATCTAGATCAGGGGTGGGCAATAATTTTTGACCGGGGGCCACTTCAGAAATTTTTGAAGTGGCCCCAGGTCGCCCTGGAAAGGGCAGGGCCTCAGGTGGAAGGGGTGGGGCCAGGACACTTCCATGCTTCCCCACCCACAGACCCTGACTAATCTGGGGGTGGGGGAGCATGCAAAGTCTTTGCCCCACCACCAGAGAGAACCATCAGCTGTTCTGAATAGCTGGGGGTTCCCTCTAGGTATCCATGCCCCTGGCAGTGGGAGGAGACTTTGCATGCTCCCCTCTGTTGCCCCCAGGGCAATCAGGGCCTGGGGAGGGAGAGCACATGAAGTCTCTTGCTCCTGCCCCCGCCCTGCAAGAAAGTGCCATGATTTGAGCAGCTGGCGGTTGACTTTAAGTGCCGAGCTCTTTGCAGGGTGGGAGGAGACTTCATGCGCTCCCCCACGCCCTCAGGCCAATCAGGGAGCTCCTGACTGGCCTCGGGATGGGGGGGAGCGGCAGGGTCTCTGTGGGCCAGATCAACTTGCTTGGCGGGTCGACTCCAGCCCGCAGAGGCCATTTTACCCACCCTGATCTAGATCATCCCTGATATCTATCCAACTAGCTCCTAAATATCTCCAGTGATGGAGATTCCACAACCTCCCTGGGCAATTTATTTCAGTGTTTAACCATCCTGACAGGAGTCCGCAGCTGATCCTGGGCTCCATGGGGCGCTGCTGCTATGAAATGCAGCGAGGAGCCTGACACCAGGCTACCTGCGGCATTTCAAAGCGGCAATGCTGCATGGAGCCTGGGGTCGACAGGGGAGTCCCCTCGCCGACCCCAGGCTTCAGGCGGTGTTTTTGCCTTTGAAGTGTAGCAACAGCCCTAGAGCTGTTGCTACACTTCAAAGGCGGAGGCACCCTAACGACTAATTGAATATTCGATTAGTCAATTACTCGCAATTTAACATCCCTACTTGAATGATGGTGATTGAGGTTTAATTAGAGGAGGATGAAGAGGTAGATGGCAATTCTGGGCATCCCCCAGCTACCCTCTCCCCTCCCGACAGGTTGCACCCAGTCCCGCTCACCAGGAGGCTGCAAGCGGCACAAGCATGGGCCAGAGGACTCTAGAGGAGTACGGGGTGGCCGTGCAGCCAGCAGCTGGAGAGAAACAGCAGTTTCCCCTTCAAAGCACTGCTTCTCTCCAGCATCTGGCTGTGTGACTGCCCTCTCTGGAGTCCTCTGGCCAGCACTTGAACTGCTCGCCACCACCTGTGCCTCTTGCCTGCTCCCCCGACCTGCAGGTGAGCTTTTGTTTGTATGTGGGGATATCTGTAACTCAAATGTTTGTAACTCAGGGTATGTCTACACTACCCCCCTAGTTCGAACTAGGGGGGTAGTGTAGACATACCCTGAGTTACAAACATTTGAGTTACAGATATCCCCACATACAAACAAAAGCTCACCTGCAGGTCGGGGGAGCAGGCAAGAGGCACAGGTGGTGGCGAGCAGTTCAAGTGCTGGCCAGAGGACTCCAGAGACTCTGGGAGTAACTGTAGTTACAATGACTTATAAACTAGCCACTCCCACCTAATTCAGGTCAGCGCGTGGTTTGTGGAACTGTAGTCGAATTCCACTGCTGTGTTTACCCAATGTTGTAGCTCGCAGGGTACCTAAATAAAAGTTCCAAATTCAGTGCAAACGCTTTCTGCCGTATTCGGCAATATAATCACCACTGAGCACTTACATGGTGCTCTTTAGTCTAAGATCTGTACCCACTTCACAAAGGAGGGTAAGGAACATTAACTTAATTTCACTGAAAGGGTTCCTGAAGCACAGAGGTTAAGTGACTTGCCCAAGATCACAGAGCTATCAGTAAGAGAGCTAGACATAGAAGACAAGTCACTTGACTCCCATTGATGGGGCCTGTCTGCTGGACCACAGAAAGGTCATGAGTAGATGGGTGCATTACCTGCAACACCAGAGTGCATCAACACCATCGTGATAACATAGTGTTTTAGAAGCTACATTCTGGTAGGAACAATAACAAGGTCAGTCCTTGGTACTTGGCAGGTGAGTGAAGGAAGAACTGTTTTTCAAACTGCCAGCCACACATGTGAGCTGAACAGTTACTCTTGATGGATTTTTAATGGTGTCGCGTTTTGGTTTTTATTGTATGGAGCTCAGATACATTTGCATTTTAAAACAAACCTAGCAAAAAGTATACGTAAATCTTAAACCTGCACAGATTCCACTGGGACTTTAAAAACAGAGCATGAGTGTATTTTTATATACATGTATACATACATAAACAGTACTGGTGTGTGATTTGATAACACTAGGAAAATATTTCTGACAATAAATAAGCACCATTGTTATTTATTATAATTTGTAATGCCACAGTACCTAGATGCCCAGTCAGAGTTGAGAACCTGTTCTCAGTGGTGCACACTCACACAGGAAGATAAATCCATGCCCTTAAGAACTTACAGTCTAGTTGGCTGAAATTCTTTATTCACCTGTCTTATGCAACCACTCAAGGGATCAATTATAAAAATCAGTCACTTATGAGAGGTAAGTCTTCCAATTAACGTGGAGCAGAATTATACTCAGTACCTTTGTGGATAATTTGTGATAGATTCCTAAAAGCAGGACTTAACCTGGTGAAGGAGAACTCTTGTACAGATTCCAATGTAAAATTTAAACTAAATAACTTGCCACTTTTATAGCACCTTCCATCCAAAAACCTTTTTCTACTATTCAAATATCAATTATTTAAATCTCATAATTTCCCTATGAAGTAGGGAAGTATTAGCCCCAATTTTTTTGGGGGCGGATTGAGGCCTACAAAGATTAAGGGACTTGTCCAGGGCTATACAGTGAGTCAGTAGCAGAGTTGGGAACAGAGCCCACATCTCTCTACACCATTAGCATAAACCCGTGGTCCCCAATCCGGTGTCCGCGGGCGCCATGGTGCCCGCCAGGCCCTTTACGTGCACCCGCGGAGCAATCTTGGCTGGCCCCGCCCCTGGGCGTGCGGCAGATGCCAGCCCCGGGCGAATGGCCGGCCCTGGCCCCCGGTGTGCCGTGTGTGCCGGTGCCGACCCTGACCCCCGCCCCCGGATGCGCTGTGCGTGCCCTTGCCGGCCCTGGCGCTGGCCTTGGCCCCGCCCCCGGGGGCGCCGCACGGAACCTAGGCAGCCCCTGCCCGGGACCCAGTGCTGACCTCGGGCGTGCGGCGCATGCTTGGCCCCGCCCCCAGTCACGTGGCCTGTGAGCGTCCCCGCCCCCGTACGCGCAGCGCGTGAGCGGCCCCGCCCCCAGGCACCAGGCAGCCACAAAACGTTGGGGACCACTGGCATAAACGATAACAGACGATTATTTACCACATTAGCTTGTGAAATAATATGGCTTGTACCTTAGCTGCCTTGTGTGACACTGTCTTCAGACTGTGTTTGCTGTGTATTTATGTCACTTGCATCAACAATTAAAAAGTGTTTTAAAGTAAGACCGGGGTGCAATTCTGACAATAAGTGGGATATTTGCTGAAAACAACCATAGCAGATTCCACTATTTTCTGGGATTCAGCACTGCAAGCTAGTATCAGTTACAGAGCACAGAGGTAAGAAAGCAGATAGGGTATAGGACAGCAAAATCACTGCATGAAACGATAGGACCAGGTGCTTTCAAGAGGCTACTTACTGTACGGCAAGAGGTGAGGGGGCTGTGTTGGCACCAGCTGTGTGGAAGGACCCAGGGACTGTGGCTCATCTGTGGTAGTGCCCGACTGCTGGAAAGCCAGGTCAATTTCTTCATCCGTCAGTCCTGGGGGAGAAGAGGAAATGAGATCAGTTTAGCTTCTTTACTCACTTGATGCGCCTGTAATTAAATCTGCAAGCCTGGCAGAGCCCTTTCAAGCTGCAGAAGGATTTTGGTGGTGATTCGAGTAGCGTCACCTCCCCGATTTTGGATTCACTGAAATTACTCTTCCCCCCCGCCCCCCGCTGCAATTTAACCTTAAGCGACAGAATATTAGCCTCGATGCCGCTTCCAAATGTGGCTCATTCAATTTCCTTAATTTATCCTTGAGTTTATTGCTGCTTTGGAAGTAGCTTTCTATTGCAATTCTCCACTCTTCCCCCGAAAAAAAGATACCATCAACTGCAAATGTGGCTCATTTTAATCTGTAATGGTGTAAAAAAAAAAAGAGAGGGGAAAAAACGAACAATAATGCATGAAAACAGACAGGGAAACAAAAAACTAATTATTGGGTTAGACGACTAATTAGTCTAGATCGTTTCCGAAGATGGGAATAATTTGCTTTATTTTATGACAAATGCAGAAATAAAAAGAAAAAATCAGGACTGACTGTGATTAGTATGAATGGGACACAGAATGCAAGGAGGAAATAAAACTAACAAAACAGATGAAAACAAGGCCAAACTCAAACTTTCAGATGAGCACTGTCCCAGCATACTGCTGCCTGATTATATTGCCCTAGGCCAGCCTGGTTTTTATTCTGCACATCACTGTAGCCACCCTGCACACATGGTATGTTTTGGTAAAGTCTTTCCTAGCTCTGGAAAATGCCAAGGTGCCCATCTGTAAGCGGCCACAACATATGGAGAGAATTTGGCCTATAAGGGGAAAAAGGAACAGCAGCTGAAAGATTCATGATGACCAGCATCTGTGAAGGAAGCAAGCACAGCTGGATGACTTTCTCAACAAGAGAAAATGTGCGCTAGCAAAAGAATGCAATGTTAGGATGGAGACCACAATGAGGGCCTGGGAGAATGTGCACTGACTGTGGAATGACATAAACTGTGCACAAAAGCAGGTAAAAGGCCAGCTCCCTACCCTGAGGAGCTTACAGTCTAGCTCAGGTACACCACAGCATGGAGGAGCAGTGCTTATGCAAAGTGTTGCAATATTGGGAATGAGATGATCATAGTAACAGGGCTTGCCAAAAATAAATACATCAATCAATCAATCAATCAATCAATCAATCAAGGGGGCTGGGATCTAAGGAAGCTGTTCCAAGCAGACAGGACAGCAAGGAAGATGGCATGAAGCTGGGAGTGGAGCAGAAAAGAGAAGAAGAACTTTCTCTTAAACATGAGATTAGCAGAGTACAGGCAGTCCCCGGGTTACATGGATCCGACTTACATCGGATCCCTACTTACAAACGGGGTGAGGCAACCCGGCACTAGCTGCTTCCCCCCAGCAGACCAGGGAGACGCGAAGCTAGCGCCCCCCTCCCCCCCAGCAGACCAGGGAGACGCGGGGCAGCTTTTCTCAGAAGACACCTCAGCTTGAGAATAAAGGACTGAGGGAAGCGAGGTGTGGGAGAATAAAACTGAGCTCTGGAGAAATGTTTGGCTAGAGTTTCCCCTACAATATGTACCAGTTCCGACTTACATACAAATTCAACTTAAGAACAAACCTACAGTCCCTATCTTGTACGTAACCCAGGGACTGCCTGTACTGCCACATGGCTATTCTTGGTACTATTGGCAGATAGAATGCTTGGAACTTTACCACCTAGACTCTCTAGAGCAGCGGTTCTCAATCTTTTCCAGTTGGGAACCTATTTTGACAATTCAGGAAGACTTGGTGACCCACAGCAATTCAAAAAATGTGTGAATGGCACCTTAAGAGCCACCTGGGGAGATACCTGACGACCCTTTTGAAATATAATGGCGACCCATATTTGGGTCCCGACCCATAGGTTGGGAAACCCTACTCTAGAGCATCCTGGTGAGGTGTGATATAGGAAATAGCCAGGATTCTTAGAGCATTACTCCTGCTTGGAAAAGTTAACCTAGGATCTAAAATCTGACCGCACATTGTGCATCCACATAAAACAGACTACTCCATAACACAAGCAACACAGCCAAAAGTAGGTGTTTGAGGCTGTCTTTGGACTGCTACTTACAAAGGCATAGTACCAACAATGCTTCTAATCATCAGAGGGCTTTATATTAGCTGATTTTCATAACACTCCTGTGAGTTAAGTTACATATTATCCCAGTTTTATAATGGGCAACACAGGTTAAGTGACTTCTCCAAGGTCACAAAGTGCTGTCAGTGTCAGAGATATGATTATAAATATGAAGTTCCTGGTCCCCCCCCCCCACACACACACACAGCTGGATGCACGTCTCATCAGAGCAATGACTCAGAAAGGGTATGTCTACACTACCCCGCTAGTTCGAACTAGCGGGGTAATGTAGGCATACCGCACTTGCAAATGAAGAGAGAGCATAAGCAGATGCAAGCATTGTAGATCACTAGCAACCATGGAATTTTATAAAACTGGAGCCAGACACGCAAGCCAATATTAGGGGCAGGCTGCAAATGTAGCTCTCTCTAAAAAGGGGCATTTAGTTCTATTTCCATGCAAAGGTAGCAGATATGATAACATTTAACTCTGAGGAACATAAAGCGAGTTATGAAGGATACTTTGTCCTTGAGATATTTAAGCATGAAAAGAACAGGAAATAATGTTCATTGTTTCCCACCCCCTCGATTCTGAGTCTGTTTGGGAAAAAGAAAGTTTTACAGATAAAATTTCTTGCATTATTCTGGTCATGCCCACTAGCAACACCACACTGCCACTATTTCTATTACAAAATGCTGTTTTAATAGGGAAGGAAAAGCTCATGTGAATGGTAATGAGATATGGAGCCTTTTATATCTAGGTTGCTGGTTTGAATCCAGCACAAGTCAGGAATGTGTGAAAGTCACTACTGTCCAATGGCTATTTTGTGGCCTCCACGAAGTACTCTCATTCATATGACTAGTTGACAAATGCCTGTGCCACAGAAAACACTACCAAATTGACCCCCTGTTAATAAGCAGAGGACAAGATTGTAACAAACACAAAGACTGAATGCTGTTAATCTGGCAAATTTCAAAAACATTAACAAAAAATTACAATATATTTGTAAAAGTCTTCTCTCAAGAGTAACTAATTTAGCCATCAAAATTCACTTGGGGCTGAACTTTTTCCTAGACACACTTATCCTAGCAGTGATTTCCCCAAACTTAGATATACCTAACTTTGTTTTTCAGGCTTGGGAATGCAAAAAATTATATCATTAATGTAGAAACATGGGAATTTCTATACCAGATTAGACCAGTGGTCTATCTAGCCCAGCGTCCTGTCTTGACTTATCAAGGTGGCTAGTCTGCTCTTTGTTAAACAAATTCAAATAATTTGACCTCCCTCCTCCTCTGTCCCATCTGCCTTGCCTAAACCAAAATGAAGCCAAGGGTCTTGGTACTACCCAGAGACTGTAAAGCCCAAAGTGCTGGTATAAGTGACCCCAGGTCACAGTGTACCACCCCAGAAGAATACTTGGCTCTTCTTGGGTTCGTGCTGGTTCAGGGACAACAAACCTCAATTTGTGTTCTAGGGTTCATCAGCTTCCCCCATTCTCCTCCTCCCTCCCCCAAGTCCCACTAAGAATTTACAGCCCCTCATCATACTGCATCTAAAAAGCATTCAGAGTCTTGTTCATTTCTCTTATCTAATATGAATTTAGCAACCCAAATATAACACTCTCTCTCGGGTGCACAACAGTGCCACAAAATCTAAAGTCTTGTGCTTAATAGGATTGTCTTTGGGGACAACTGTGTCAATAGAATCACATCAGTATATAATAGAAGATTCCCCCTCCCAACCCTCGCCTCCCCCAGTTTGAAAAGCAAACATTTTAGATCTTCTGGAGTTGCAGCAAGATCAAGACCATGCAGAATCCAAAAGGTTAAAAGGAACAATAAAGGAAACTGCCAATTGTAAGTGAATTATATTTGGCTTTGAAAGCTGAGCCACAGCTATATTATAAAAGGCATCTCTTTGCGTTGTTTACCATCACCCTGACTAATGCAGCCCTTTTTTTTGTTTTAAATAATCTCATGCAAATTAGACACACACTTCCTTCCAGTTGATTGCTATCTGCAAGGAATAATCTAACCACAGAGGGTACTGAGCAAGGACTGAGCGGAGGAGAAGGATGTGATGAAACTATCTTCACAGCCCTAGAGAATGCAAACCTCCCCCCGCCTCCCATCTCCGGTCCATCTATCTAATTCCTCCTTAGAGCCACTGCTTTTGTAAGAATTAGTCATAATTTTCATAAAGACTTAAAATGTCCTCTTTAGGTTTCAGGGTGTTGATTTGCATTATCTGACACCAAGCAGTGCTTTGCATTCTGATGTTCTTGCCTTTCTTTCAGGAACTTCACTATTGTTGCCATTTCCAATTTTCAGGAAAACCACAGAGCCTCTGTAAATTGTCGTTAAACACAGAATCAAAATAAATTAGAGAATGAGGCCAGGAGGTAATAATCCCTTTTACCTCTGCACTTGGGGGGGATATCCTTTGCTTGGGACTTTTAAAATTATACTGTCTATGTATACAATTTAAAAAATTCATTACTGTAATACCCGAGGATTTCACATACACTGAAACTTTTAGGCTACGTCTACACTGCAGGCTTCTCATGCAAGAGTTCTTGCGCAAAAGGTCTTGCGCAAGACCACGTCCACACTGCCATGTGCTTTTGCACAAGAGATGTGCTTTTGCGCAAGAGCGTCCATGGCGGTGTGGATGCTCTCTTGTACAAGAAAGCTCTGATGACCATTTCATCCATAGGGGTTTCTTGCGCAAGAAACCCCTGTTGCCTGTCTACACAGCCTTCTTGTGCAAGAGCTCTTGCGCAAGAGGGCTTATTCCTCGTGGGGAGAGGAATAACTCTTGCGCAAGAAGCCCTCTTTTCTGATGCTTTACTGTAAATTTACTTGTGCAAGAACATGTGTGC